TGTTACTATTGGAGGAGGCTGAGGCACAGGGACTTGAGATTGCTTGTTAGTATTTTCCCAAGTACTTCTAAAAATAAAATGCTTAATTAAAAAAGAGAAACAGTGGTAAAAATAAGTCAATGTAGGACTAAAATACCACAGATTCCTCCATAAAGACAAAACACACTGACCTCATATACTAATTACATAGGACATAGCTAGGTCTCATATGCCTATTTTTCCACTAGGAAACCTCTATGGCCAGCCAGAAAAAAAATGTTCTTTACTACAAAGTGATAAATACCATTCTATTCAAGATTTATAGTTATATACTAAAATGACTGTCTTTCCTAATAAACAACCTTAGGTCACAATTTTAAGTGAATGGCTTCACTAAAAACTATATCACTTCCTATTTATTTCACTTACCAGCCCTTTTTAAAAAATAATTTTATTGGGGGCTCATACAGCTCTTATCACAATACATACATACATCCATTGTCATCTACCAGCTTTTAAAACAGAAAGTGCGAACAACCCAGCATGCAAGCAGCACGTGCCGATCCTTACTTTCAAAGCAGGAGGGGAGGCGCTAGTGTTCCCATGGTCCTTTTTCTCTGTGCCTTTTCCTCTACTTTAACTCAACACAAAATCTCACCCTACCCACAGTGGCCCAAAATGACCTGGAAAATTAAGTTTATTTTTTCTGGCAATGACAATCTGTGCTTGGAAATATAACACTGTTATTCTGAATACATTTCAGAGTTCCAAAGGACTAAAATTACTTGACTGAAACAGGACAAAATGAGCTGTTACTGCTGGGGAAAGGGATTGTTATCCCAGAAAGAACAGTGTGCTCCCCGGTCCTTGCACTGCCACTTCTGTTTTGCAAAATAAACACCGCTAGTCTCTTTATTTTACTTTGTGTCCTGTGTTAATAAAGACCTCCTGAAGCTTAAAGTTTATAACAAGTGCTCATTTTGTCACTCTTTATAGAAACAAGAGATCAGTTTCACTTTTGCAAAATGACTAATTTTTCTACTGGTGTATTGCTAGTGTTTGAGCGTCTGCATGTGTCCTCTAGCAAAAACAGCAAAAGGAAAACTGTTCCTTGCTTTCATGTGAGAAGATGGGTCTATGCTTCTCTAACGGATTGCCATTCCTGAGGGGAAGAGAAACAGAATTATTACTCTGCTCATAAATACACGAATGATGTTTTCCCTTTACCTTGTGACAATCAAACCTTAACCACAGAACTGCACCATCATTGCAATTGCACCCTACTTTCAGATGAAAATTTGAGAAATGCTGCTGGTTAGATAGGCGCTAGCTCGAGCCTCTGGTCTAAATGCACACAGAAGTAAACTAGAGAATCGACCAGCGGCTAAAGACAGGAAGCATGGTCTTGCCGTCTGGCTCGTGGGCCTGCATGGAAGTCTGAGAGGTGTTCTATATTTAATCAGAAATTGGACAAAACACAAAAAGACCTGCAAATGGGCATCAGAAGATTAATCACTCCTTCTGAGACCAGCAGATGCTTTAACCAACTTAGCATTCCAATCAGGCAATGGGTTCTCTAAGGTTAGCTTGTAATCATCATTCTCTGACACCTTTTCTCTTGGGTACTCATATGTACATTTGTCTTGTAACTCTCCTTTTTCTACTACACTTTATTTTGCTATGAATCATATAGCAGCACAGTCATCTTCACACTCGAGTTTATCAGCCATCCCAGGTCCATAGAGCAAAAGCAATTCAGAAAGTCTCTCTTCACCTTCTTTTCTTCCCTGGATCCTTGCCTACACACACACAGTAGGAGCCGATCTAGAAGAGAAACTAGTATGAAAAATGAACACGAAGTGTTAACTGAACAGAAGCCTCTGTCACTCCACACCAGTGTCCCCATCTCAAGCCTTTCTTTACAAATGGAGCACAATTTCCAAGCTGTTTTTCTTCATCTTAAAACAACATGGTTCTAAACTGAACTCCTCCTGTTTGCACTACAAGCTATATCTCTCTATTTAGCATGGTTCTATGCAAACCGAGTGTGCTCTATGATGCTGAAGAGTGATTTATTCAATACCCAGGGATGGCCTCATGATCACTAGTTCAACAAGTTAAATTTTGGACAAACTGGAGAAGTCAAATACAGGTAAAGAGATACAGAAAAAGAGATGGCCAACTTAACTCTGAAAGACTGAGCTTTTGGGGTGCATAAGCAAATGTGGCCAAAAAAGCTCTCGGTGCCCGGCTATCAAAAGATATAGCGTCTGGGGTCTTAAAGGCTTGAAGGTAAACAAGCGGCCATCTAGCTCAGAAGCAACAAAGCCCACATGAAAAAAGCACACCAGTCTACGCAACCACGAGGTGTCAAAGGGATCAGGTATCAGGCATCAAAGAACAAAAAATCATATAATTGAGAATGAGGCGCAGTGTGGAGTGGGGACACAAAGCCCATCTGTAGACAACTGGACATCCCCTTTCAGAACAGTTGCCGGGAGGAGATGAGCAAGTCAGGGTGCAGTATAGCAACGATGAAACATACAACTATCCTCTAGTTCTTAAATGCTTCCTACCTTCCCACCCACCCTGCCACTCACTGTCATGATCCCAATTACAAATCCAGCTAGAGCAGAGGATGTACACTGGTACAGATAGGAACTGGAACAAAGGGAATCCAGGACAGATGAATCCTTCAGGACCAGGGGTGAGAGTGGCGATACCGGGAGGGTAGAGGGAAGGTGGGGTAGAAAGGGGGAACCGATTACAAGGATCTACATATAACTCCCTCCCTGGGGGCCAAACAATAGAAAAGTAGGTGCAGGGAGACACCGGACAGTGTAAGACATGACAAAATAATAAGTTATAAGGTATCAAAGCTTCATGAGGGAGCAGGGAGCGGGGAGGGAGGGGAAAAATGAGGATATAATGAGGCAACCAGGATAGCATCTGACACATAATGGGCTCTCAATAATACTTGTTGTACAAACAGCTCTAGGGCAGTGAAAATCTGGAATCAAGAGTATTAACAAAGAGAGCAGACAGGCCACCACGAACAACACTGAGCATTCAGCAGGGCAGGGCTATGACTGGAATGCGTATCTTGGGCCATCGGCAGCTCAATTTCTCCTTGTGCCCCTGCCTCTGCACTATCTGGCCAAAGGCCATTCCTTCTCTGAGATGTAATTGCAGACTTAAGAAATGCTTGGTTTTGCATTTTAAAAACAATTTACTTATAAAGAACTGTAAGCATGAGAAAAGACTCATTAAACGTTTATCAAAATAGCTATTCTTTTAAAATACTGAAAAATAGCTATTCTTTTAAAATACTGAATGTTTAACTTGTTAAACATTCTCTAACTTGACCCATTTATCTCACTGCTAAACTTCTGGTGCCTTCCCCCATCTGTCTATACCAAGACTCAAGTCTTCGAAAGCCAACCTTAGTTCCACTTGCACGGAGTACCCTTCAGCCACCCCAGTACACAGGGACTCCTGTCTCCCCCATCTCCAGTCTAATGCACAGATTAGTTATACGGGCATATGAATAAAAACCATACACTACCTTACAGAGGTTTTGTTGTTATTTGTGTGATTACACATCCTCTTCCTGACAGAAAGGGGCCCTAGTGGCATAGGAGTTATACATTGGGCTGCTAACTGCAAGGTCGGCAGTTCAAAACCGAGGGAGAAAGATAAGGCTTTCTACTCCTGTAAAGCATTACAGGCTCAGAAACCCACAAAGGCAGTTCTGCTTTGTCGTATAGGGTCACTAGGAGTTGGAATTAACTTGGTGGCAGCAAGTTTGGTTTTCAGTCATCCTGACAGATGATTAGTATCCAAAATGCTGGCATTGTCTCCTCTAGGGTACTTTTTTCTGTTTTGGTTTTCAACTCTAGCACACCTACACTAGTAAAAAGAAATAACTCAGTTGAGGAGAATGGAAGGACATTCCGTACCTTCAAACACAGCATCATTTCTCAAGAGACTGTAAGCAAAGCGAAGTTCTCTGTGTTCATTAGCTTATGCCTAACTCAAAGGTGAAGCACTTTAGGGGTAATGGTTTAAAAATTCTTGTTTGATAACAAGAGGTCCTTTCCAGTTCCTCCTAGATTGCAGTTTCGTTTACGCAGGTCTGAAGGGCAGGCAGTAACAATAACCATCAAGTGAAATCAATGGCATGACTAATGATAACAGGCAGCACAAAGCAACATGCACCAGGAGGAAAAGCATATCTGGGAGCGCATTGCAATTTTTAATTAAAATAGAATGGCCTGGTGGTTAACTAAGGGTTGACAGTGGATTTACTGAAAAGAATTGAATGAGTAATGATAGCTCAGGTTTAAGGTTCTAACTCACCAATTAAGCCAAGCATTTCCAAAGAGATTTTTTTTTTAATAAACTTTTTTACACATGTGGGTTGTCAAACTAAATGTGGGAGAAAGTTTCTGCCTGAGGATAGAAGTGAAGTGACAAAGGAATGGAGGATCTATGAAAATGAAGAGGTTATTGAGCAGATTAAAGGAGTTGCTGTTTAAAGGGGTTTAAAAGTATCTGGCACGTGGTCAATGGTGAGAATTCACACAGGTGAAGTTAAAATAGACCCTTATATGCAAACCCAAATCAAACACACTACCATCAAACCGATTCCAACTTAGAGTGACCCGGAAGGACAGAACAGAACTGCTTTCTGAGGCTTTGTGAATCTTTTCAGGGAGCAGTCAGCCTCCTCTCCTCTGAAGAGGCTTCACCTGGTGGCTAACCTTGTGGCTAGTAGCTCAAGGCTTAACTCACTGCCTAGATCTTCATAAAGAGACCTACACACAGGACTGAAATGATATACATCACCTGTCGACTTTCATAGAAACAGATGAGTTTTGACTGAGCTGAATCCTACAATCTGTCCTTCCCCACACAACCAATTCAGTAAAATACCTATTAAAGCTCTGAATTCATTTTCCTGTTTTAGAATTCTCTGGTTGCTACAATTTTCCTAATGCTGTGCTACAGTAAAGTCATACCTTTTGGATTTCTTCAGGTAAAGCATGCATGGGCACATGACGATCCATAGTTTCCCAAAGATACTGAGGGAGCTCTGACGTGAATTAATCTAAAAACATTGATGCCAATAATCAGAATGGAAATAGTGTGAAGAAAATCCAAATTAAAGGATACTTTTCCCAGTTCTTTGAGATGAATCAGTGAAAATTATTTCAATATATGTTTCATTAATAGTAACTGAGAAGGTATAACAGGGGTCCTCTCAGCTGTTAGGCCAACAGAATAAGAAAGAATGATAGAGAATGATTGCTGAATCTGGAGTGAGATTTATTTCTTCAAAACTTATCTAGTAATAATTTCTATGGGGGTTTAATAAGGAGCACTTTCATATTCCAAATAGGCTCATTTATTTCAGTTGCAACAAGTTGTAGTGGGTTGTTTTTTTTCCTGAAAAGCTGTTAGGAAAAAAATTTTTTTTTTAATTGGGGCTCATACAATTCATCACAATCCATACATACATCAATTGTATAAAGCACATTTATACATTTGTTGCCCTCATAGAAAAAATATAGTATTTTAACTCAGCTCATAAGAATAAATTGTGACATGAATGCTTGTTTGAATGATAAAGTACAGAAAAAAATACTTTGAGGGACCAGATTAAATATGGCATGTGGGTATTCAAGAAGAGAAAAGTCATCAGTGCATCAGAAGGAAGGAAAGTGTCAGGCTTATCAAAGATGGACATTTATCTACTTTTCTTTTTTTTTTTTAACATTTTATTAGGGGCTCATACAACTGTTATCGCAATCCATACACACATCAATTGTGTAAAGCGCACTTGTACATCATTCTCAAAACATTTTCTCTCCACTTAAACCCCCAACATTAGGTCCTCATTTCCCCTCCTTCCCTGCTCCCCCTTATCTACTTTTCATGTAGGCATTTTTTGTTATTTATTTCCTAATAAAATTATCCAAAATAAAACTGTTATCACCATTGTCATAAAAATCAGAGGTTGAAGGAGCATTTGTTTTTAAATCCTTCCGAAATGTGGAATAAAGACAGTCCAGTTGCATTAGTAAAGGGTGTTCTTATATGGGCAGTCCCTAGGAATGTCTGAATGTCTGAACTGTGGACAGCTCCTACTTGTCCATTAATATGATGTACATTTTCCCTCCCTTTGAAAGGCTTGAACCAACCCCTACCAAATGACAAACCCACTGCTATGGACTCAATTCTGACGCATAACTACTCTAGATAGGGTATTTGAGGCTGTAGATCTTTATGGGGGCAGACGCCTCCCTTTGCTACCTGAGTAACTGGTGGGTTTGAACTGCAGACCTTGAAGTCAGCAGTCCAATACTTATCCAACAGTGCCACCAGGGCTGCTAAACCAGCCGTCATTGTTGTTGTTCGGTGCCATTGAGTTGGCTCTGACTCAGAGCGACCCTAACCCTAATGCCTACAAGCAACAATTTTCAGTCCACCTTCACTTCCTGCAAGTACAGTTTTGAAATCATGAAATCATTTTCACACTAAGGTGCAAGTCTAAATAAGAACCTAACACGTGTACCTATTCAAATGTATCTATGAATTCTTAAAGACAAGTTAGGAACTGCTCTGTACCTAGAGACTAGGCTACCTATGAGGAAGAAGCAGCAAAGTAAGATGATACTGGCCCAATTCCATAGCAGAAAAGAAGGCTTGAGGGCGATGAGATATTGACCTAGAGTAATCTAGGAATCCAGTGGGTAGTTAGAGAAGGTTTTGTGACAGTTGATCAAGGCAGGATTTTAACAAACTGGGTGAAACAGTCCAGTATTGGAATGAACTCTGCGGCCATGATAAAGTGGAAAGTAAAGGGTACCCTCCCTATCTTGTTAGTACTAATACCCCTCCTTTTAATGATTTGCTGTCCTATAATAAAATGTGTGTAGAAAGGTTTCAAATAGGGTTAATGATAGCAGATTGTTAGAAGATGAGGCTTTCTATTTCTGTAAAGATTTACAGTCTTGGAAATCCAGATGGGGGCAAATCCACCCTGCTCTATAAGATCACTATGAGTCAGCATTGACTCAACGTGATAAAACTCAGTGAGTTTGAGTTTGGGGTTTGGGGCAGATTTTCAGTGATGTGTTTCAAATGCTCATTCATCTAATTTCTGCCACTTTACATTTTATTTTATAATGAAAATACCACATCTCATCTCTACTAGAATTTTTCCTAATTACCAACTAATTCTCCTTCAAAAGTTCCATCTGTACAACTATTTGAGAGCATGGATTTGAATGAAAGTATTAACAAACAAGCCATGAGGCTATTTTAAATTAGTACCTTCACCACCTATGATTCTAGTCCAAATTTGTGGCTTATGATGCCAAAGGGAGAAATTATCTGGGTCTGGTTATTAAGGAAAATAAAAAACCAAAAACAAGACCTGCCAACACAGAAAACCCTCTCCACAAATGGAGAGTAATGAGTATGCAGTGCACCGTTGTTATGTTAAGTGACTACAAAAACAAAGAGATCTCATCCTCTTTACTCAGCCACAAAGATACAGCAGATACAATCGAGAGCACACATTTTTTAAGATAAATGGGGACACGTTCTCATGTAAGAGGGCTTCCTAGTACTATTTGCCCTACACTCCTTAAGTGATCGAGAAATTCAACTGGATTGGGCGTGCCCGTCTGTGCTGTCTTTGACAGATATACTGAGCTCAGAGAAAGGTACCTCAGTTCAACTCCTGTGGAGATTAAGCAGTTAAAGGCACTGTCTTCCTCGATTATTTTAGAGAAAAGGTTCTCAGAGGGGATATGTTCCCGGGCCTTTAATAAAGGCTATGGAAGTAATAGAAGGATTCACTAACACGAAGTTTCTCAAGAAGGCGGGGGGTCTCTCTGGCAGGACGTAATATCCTGACATTACGCAGAATGTTTGATCCAAACGAGTCCCTTCGAGTCTTTCGCACACGTGCATTCCCTTTAGCAGGAAGCGCAGTGGGAACTGGCAGCGGCTACTGCGCGGTTAGCGACCTACTCGCCCTAAAGATGCAGGCGACGTCAAAAGTGCAGACCCGTCCCAGACGGTGCACTTCCGAGATTCCTCTCTCACACCCGGTCACCTCGGGTCACGACTCGCGTTCCAGCCATTCCCCGGCGTGAATCACCCCCCAGAGCCAGGTCAGGGGCTGAGGAAGCCGGAGTTCACGTCCTCAGGCTTTCCTGAAATGGAAGAATTTTCCAAATAGAAACCAACTGCAAGGTCAGCCGCACTGCTGGAAGGGCTTTGAAATCTGCCCCTTTGTAACC